CCAGGCCGGCCAGCGGGGCGGGCGGCAGCACGCTGCGGGCGCGGCTAGGCGGCCAGCAGCCGGGCGGCGGCCAGCGCCAGGCCAGCACGCACGCCGGGCGCGGCTACCACGCGCGCGTACGCGGGGCAGCCAGCAGCCGGGCAGCGACCAGCGTCAAGCTAGCACGCACGCCGGCTGCAGGAGCGTGCATCGGGCACGGGTATGGCCAACTGCTTGGGACGGCGTCATTTGGACGTTGGCATCGGGATCTCAAAACATCGTCGTGTTCATCGGAAACATCGACAGCGCGTGGCACAGCGGGTGCGTTGCGGCGGTACCGTGATCATCTGGATCACGATCTGTACCGACTCCCGTATAGTGTAGTCAACAAGTCTTTCGTGATCCAAAAACATCGATATTGGTCGGCAACATATTCGTCCGCTCAGTTTTTGGGAGAGAAATCCACACCATAGGTAAATTTATCCGAAAAAATAAACTAATCGCAAAAACGGAATCGCGGTAACGAGATGAATCCATTTTTGCAAAGAGTGGGGATCGGATCTTATACCTCCTTGGGATTGACGAAAGCCTGCATGATGCAGGCTTGACGGAGAGTTGGTGGAGCGAAGCGTGCTGATAACGTGTTCCGCAACTTCTGCCGGCGAGTCCGGTCCAAGGTTGCGGAGCGGGAGCGAGCGTCGTAGACGAAATAGTCGAATACGCGAAAGTAAATGGCACAAAGAGATATGAAAAAGACCAGCTTTATTAATCAATGATCAGGTATTACAATGATGGCTCCTCGGTGCTTTATATAGGGAGAAAGGGGGTCAAGGAATAAGTACCCAAGGGAACGGGAGGGGCTAGCCCGTGCGTTTAGCACGCGGCCGCCGCCACCCTCCCGGGTGGTCCGATTTCCCAACAGTTTCAAGTAGGTCGCGTCCTTTTACTTATCACGAACTGTAGGCAGGCGCGGTGGCTAGTAGTAGTGTTGGTTATCTTTTTTGTTGTTGTTGGTTATCGTTGTCGTGGCAGCTAGGGATCGATCCCTCGCGAAAATGGGCTGGTCCAGTAACACCCACAAAAAACTCAACACAAGACTTTCTACGTACTCGCTTAATGCGAGGCATAGTCGCCACGGTTCAGTCGCGAGGGGAGCACGTCGATCGGACGATTAGAAGGGGCCAGATCGTGTGGCTGGTGAGGCCACCGATCTGATCTGCCACCTATCCACCGGCGCCGCGTCAGCCCACAAAAAGCAACAAAGAAAATGAGTACTTTTTTGAGAGAGAGAAGAAAGAAAAGGAGAACTTATACTAGTACGTGACAAATTTTGTGACCGGAGTGAACGAGGAGGATCTTGAACACAACGGCATCCGCACGAGGCGACGCCCGCCGAGCGCCCAGCGGAGTCCTAATCCAACCCGACCATCGATCCAAGCAAAATCTACATGTTGCCGATCAGATCATCATAGCGCTAAGCCCGCGGCTTCCAAACCCTCGTCAGCCAAGCTTCGCCTCGCCTCGCCTCGCCTCGCGCCCCGTTACCGAATCCAAAACCCCTCGGCGCCGGCGGCGGGCTCGCCCGCCATGGCCAGCGACGACGAGTGCTACGACTACGAGTACGACTACGACGAAGACGACGACGACGAGCAGGAGGAGGAGGCGATGGAGGCCGACGAGGAGGGCCTGTTCGAGGACGACACGCCGATGCCGGATCGCCCCGCCGATTGCTGGGTAAGTAGTAAGCCCGTCGACCGACGCAGAGGGGCTAGCCGCTCATTGCGCCCTCGGTTACTGCCCGATCGAATCTTTACCAAATCGATCGAATTAGTGTCCTGGGGTTTGCGCGGAATCTCTGTTTTTCTCCTAATCGGTGGGATTAATGTTGAGGCTTCCGTAAACTCTTGCCCGATCGGCTTCCGACGGGCGATTGTGGTATGGTTTTATTGCGCCCACTGGCTTCGATCTGAATTCAAATGCAATGCAGGTTTATGTACTGATAAAAAGAGGAGGGCATCGTTAACGACAGTATATATATTAATAGATTGGTTTGAATTTTAGTCTTCAGCAGCAAGATACTTAGTTCAGCACAATTTTCATCTATTTGCTCTCGCTGTCAAGGTATTCTCAGAGGAATTTGGATTACAATATAATAGTCCATATGATTTTCTTATTTAATTATAGAAGCCCGCTGGGCGCTGGATCACATTGGAATTTTGGAGAAATTATAAAACGAGCTTTCACTTCATCAAATTCGCTCTGTCTCTTACATGGGCTTTTTTGGTTATATCAATGTAAAATTTGTTGGGACAATACAGAAATTCTCCTTGACGCTGATTGCCGGATTTCTGTGGTTGCAATAACCTAGTCTTAAGTTTCCGACACTCATTTTTTCCCGAGTGGTTTGCTTTAGTTGGATTAGCTAATATTTATTCTGCTGTTTTACTGTAAATCAGAAGATGCACTACTGAACTACTCTTCTATCTGTTATTGCAGGCAATTACACAAGAGTCTCTTTCCATTGCACAGGTAACTAGAGTCACTAAACTAGGCACTGTTTCGAGTTCAGATTATACATGTCTCCCTCCCAACTGTGATGAGACGAGTAATGTACTATATTCTCTTTGGTTCTCTACCTACAGCAACAAGATCTATCCATGGTGATGACCTTGCTCAACGTCAAGCAGCACAATGCTCGCGCTCTCCTCATCCACCATCGGTGGAAGATAGACTGCATCTACGACCACCTCGACAGGAAGGGGCGAGACCGCACGTTCAGGGAGGCAGGCATCGTGCTTCACGAGAATATCAACGGCAAGCCGCTGGGGTTGCCCTCAAGAGTGGTCAACTGCATGGTGTGCTTTGATGAATTCTCTGTGGGCGCCGTCTCCACCATGGAATGTGGCCATTATTTCTGCAATGACTGTGAGTTTTCTTCCCCTTCACAATGTTTATCTTGTTATCTTTACAGTTTAACTTATTAAGAACTCTTTTGTTGTAGTGTCAAAAACGCTCTTACATTGTGGGACAGAGGGAGTAGTATTTAAGGCTAGCATTCTACCAACGAAGGGTATACACTTGACATGCACAATTTAATTGTCATGTATGGACATAGCAAATCCAAATCATAGGAGCAAAATTTATGAAAATACAATCATAGCATAATAATTTCAGCAGTGTACTTTATTGAGTTATATAATAAGGTCGACACACACAATTCTTTAGCCCGAGTTAGCCAAGCAAATTTTTCACTCTATTGCAAAATGCTGTTGTTCCAAAGGTTTGAATTTGTTAATGGATTATATATTTCTTAGTAGCATATGAGAAATTTATTCCTAATTGACTAGGTTGCGCGCCGTCACTCCTAAAAATGTACAAAAAAGAGTTTGTGCAACATCAAGTTGCACATTTTGTAAATCCAATATAGTTGCACAGAGTTTCTAAGATAGGATAAAGTGTAGTTTGCAACCCCTCGTCCATTTGAAAGTGCACATTTTTTCTTCGAAACTAGGCCCTGAAGGATCTCGATTTCTTAAAAAGGAAAAATAGAGTTGCCCGATTAATTAGCACATTACACATAATACTAGACAAACCTAACCCTCAAGTAGCAAAATGGGGTTTTATGACATGGTGCCCATCACCGGCGGAGCTTGAAGCAAATAGTTGGGCAGGGCAGACCGAAGGAAAATGCTCCTGGCTTGGTGTTCCATCTTCCATGGCCCAGCACTCAGTTTCTCATGGGCTAGACAGGACACGACATGGATTAGTCCTTATGTAGAGTCAGCACCAGTGCCCACGTGTCTACCGCATTACCTTCATATTGTAAAAAAAAAATAGAAATAATTTTAAAAAGTTCGGGTCTTAAAATCCTATCTTTTTTTTACGTCGGCCCCCGCACCCGTGTCGCTCTCCAGGGGGCGGCTCGGGTGACCTAACCCCGCCGCCGCCGCCACCCCCTCCTGCTCCCTCCCCCTCGCCGCCGTCGGGCGTCCCCGCGGGGCAAAGCCCGTGCGGCTGCCGGCGGTGGCGGGCCTTTTCTCTCCCGTCTCGCGTGGAGGCCAGCCCTGGATGGCGCGTCGTGCGTCGCGGAGCTGCGCGCCAGTGTGGATCTGGCCCTCCGGCCTCTTCTACGGCGCGGTGGCGCTGGATGCTGGGGCGACGACCCCGGGGAGCGGCGGCCCCCTCCTCTCTGTCTTCCTTGCGGTGGAGGAGCGGCGGTTGACCGTTTTGGGGGCGGATCGGGGCTTTTCTGCTCGGATCTAGTGGGCGCACGCCATCGGCGGGATGCGGCGGTGCTGGCCGTCCTGGGACGCCTGGGTGGCAGGGCGGCTGCGCGTGGTGGCGGCCCCGGCGGCTCTGGTTGGCGGCGATGGAGTTGTTGATCCCATCCTGCCTGGCCGGAGACGGCCCTCTCGGCCGGGCTGGTGTTTGGCGAGGTGCAGTGGTGTGCCCTGGCTAGCGTGGTGCTGTCTGGGGTTGCTAGTCTCCCAAGGCCAGTGGCCTCTGCGTGGTGTAGGTGGCGCTGTCGGTGGTGGGTCTGGCGCTACTCTCTCCCGGCGTCAGTCTGTTGGTGGATGGTGGAGGGCCTGTGCCGCGGATCTGGTGCAGGCACGACGTGGTGGTGGCCCGTGTCGGCCTGCAACAGCGGCTGGTCGCGCGGGTGCGTGCCCGACGGCTCCAACGCTTGGAGCTCGTCGGCCGGCGCGGGTTGGGCGGCGACCTGGTGTGGTTGCGACTCTGGTCGTGGATGGCTCCACGGTTGCTTGGCAGGTCGACTGCGACAGCCGTGGGCATGTTCCGGCGTCGACTGGTCCGTAGGCGGCGTGTGTCGACCTTCGATCCCTCTCCACGTCGTCCGGGTGCTAACTTCGTTGAAGGTTCGGCCCTTCCCCGACTATGGGCCATCGCTCGTTTCACGCTCGGCAGCAAGACCGAGCTTGTCTCCCGCCCGGCAGTAGGACAGACCTCGTCTCGTGCCCGGCAGCAGGATCGGCCTCGTCTCGCGCCCGGCAGCAGGACCATGCTCGTCTCATGCCCGGCAGCAGGACAGTGCTCGTCTCCCGCCAGTGTCTTGGACGGGTCGATGGCGGCCAGTTTTGGCCGGCCTATTGGGTTTCGGCGTTGGGAGCGGCTCAGGGGTGAAAAGGCGGGTCCTTTTCTGCCCATATCTTTGGTTGGGGTAGCGGTGGGTGGCGGGTGAGGTGGCGTCAAGGTCTTGGATGCTAGGGCGGCGGCCCTGGTGGTGGTGTCGCGGTGCTCCTGGGCAAAGCCCGTGACTTGGTGATGCCTGGTGGCCATGGCCGTGTGGACGGCGTGGTAGCTAGGGTGTGGCGTTCGGTGGCGGGAATATTGGTCGGGGTGAAAACATGTTCTATCTTCGGATTGACCTGCGACGTCGAAGCTCGTTCCCTTCTTGAAGGTGTCGCCGCGACTCTCATTGCCCGTCGTGTTGCTTCGGGGGAAACTCTGATCCTTGGGTCGGACGGTGGCGACGCTTCGGTGTCGTAACCCTCTTGTAGGCACCGCCTTGGAGCCCACGGTGCGTCGTATGTAGCTTCTTCTCTACGCGGTGGCGTGTTCATGGTTGAGGCCCCGATGGCTGTGTAGTGCTAGGGATGGTGTTGCTGCACTCAGCGCCTATGTATCCTGCCTTGGGTATGTGCGTGTGTTGTGGTGGTGTGTGTTGTACTGGGTGGTTGATGATCTTTGCTTTATATATATAACGGGGCGAAAGCCTTTTTCGATAAATCCTATCTTTTCAAAACTACACAAAATGTCATAAATTTTAATCACATGGCTTCAGTTTTGAGAATTGTGAGGAACTCCAAATTTCCCGCGGAATTTAATCTCACGACCATTTCCCCAAAAGAAATTAGAACTTCCCAGAAATTTTAATTTTTTTAAAAGTCAGTACTCCCTCCGACCCACATTAATTGTCGCCGGGAGCAGGATAATTAATATGAGTCGAAGGGAGTTTTATCTTTGAAATTGGAATGGACATTTCCCCCAAAAAATCATTATATGTTGTGCTTTTTACTGCTATTTTTTTATGACACAGAAGTGACATGGTAGACACGTAAGCGCAACGTCCTCGAGAACAAATTTAAAATGGTTAGAACCACATTCCAATGGTGTGATTGTAGATACTTGAATGTTAGATTTGACTGGTTTTATCATTCGAACGTGTATGCATTTGCGTGCGCAAGAAACACACTTTTCCTACAAAATATGCATCTACTCCCTCCGTCCGAAAATACTTGTCCTAGAAATGATTGTATTTAGAGTTCTAGATTTATTTTAGTTATAAATTCATCCATTTTATTCATTTGTAAGAGAAATATTTCCGGACGGAGTATGTGGTTTCCATTAGATAAATAATCCCGTTTTCATGACCTTTGATTGAGCAACTAGACTTTCTTTGCCGAGTGAGAGGCACTTGTGTGATGTGCAAGGATAATCAATCAATCCTTATTGGTGTCGTTTTCTTATCTTACTTTGTGCGTCGTGCAGGTTGGACGGAGCACTTCAAGGCGTGTGTGGAGAGCGGCAAGAAGCAGATCCGGTGCATGGGGGTGAAGTGCCCGGTGGTGTGCGACGAGGCCGTGGTGCAGCAGCTCCTCGCCGGCGAGTACCCCGACGCGGCCAGGCGCTTCGACCGCTTCCTCCTCGAGTCGTACCTCGAGAACAACGACTCGGTGAAGTGGTGCCCGAGCGTCCCGCACTGCGGCCGCGCGATCCGCGTGGGCGCCGGCGAGCGCTACACCGAGGTGGAGTGCCCCTGCGGCCTGGGCTTCTGCTTCGCGTGCGCGGCCGGCGCGCACTCGCCGTGCCCCTGCACCATGTGGGACATGTGGGAGGTCAAGTGCAACGGCGAGTCGGAGACGGTCAACTGGATCCTCGCCAACACCAAGAGCTGCCCCAAGTGCTTCAACCCCATCGTCAAGGACGGCGGCTGCAACCTCGTCACCTGCAAGTGCGGCCAGCATCTATGGTAAGTAACCATCGATCGGCACCACGATATCGATATGCATGGCATGCTTGCTTCTTGGAGGGCGTGATGGATCACTAGCTAGCTTGGCTTTCTGAACCTAAATCTGAATCCATGGATGCATACGTGCGTTGCGTGCAGTTGGAAGTGCGGCGGCGCGACGGGGGGCGCGCACGACTGGGACAGCATCGTCGGCCACAGCTGCAACCGCTTCGTGGGGGAGGAGAAGAAGAAGGTGGACAACGCCAAGCGCAACCTGCACCGCTACACGCACTACTACGACCGCTTCAAGATCCACGGCGACTCGCACAAGCTGGAGCACGACAAGCTCGGCCCCGCCGTCGACGAGCGGGTCAAGCTGCTGGAGGCGCTGCTGCAGGACCAGCCCCTCCTCCATGACGCCAGCTGGCTCACCGAGGCGCACCGCGGCCTCCTGCAGTCGCGCCAGGTGCTCTCGCGCTCCTACGTCTTCGCCTACTACATGTTCGGCGGCGACGACGACAAGGTCCGGACGTGGCCCAAGCACCGCGGCAGCCTGCCCATCGCGCAGGGCCTCTTCGAGAACTACCAGGAGGAGCTGGAGAGCAACGTGGAGCGCCTCTCCAAGTTGCTCGCCACCGAGTACGGGCCGGTGCCCGAGGAGGAGGACGTCCGGCGCGACAAGCAGAACGCCATGAACCTCGCCAAGATCGTGCAGACGCGATGCGGGGAGATCTACAAGTGCATCCAGGACGAGCTCCTGCCGCTGCTCCTCGACCCCATGATCATCGCCGCGTACCGGCCCCGCGGCCCCGACAAGGCCAAGGACTTCACCACCGCCTGATGAGGAGGAGATTAGCTCCTCCAATTTCTTTTGGCCGCGACGGCCGCTGGCTGTAATGTGCTCCAAGGCCAAGGAGTTCATGCCATGTAGTACTATTGGACAGTCTCTCGTGCGCTGACTGTCTGGGCAGCCATACCAGACCAGACAGGAAATGGCTTCAGGAAGGCAGCTCGATAGGAGCTGCATGCATATTTTTCCTATTGGAATTTGTATACTTTATCAGATTCAGAAAGCCCAAAGGGTACTCTGTATACTGTATATCATTTGGGCGAAATTCAAACAGTAAAACGCATCGTTTGTCTATGAACTTGCCATCGATGTGCTTGTTCTCATGAGAACCTCTTTATTAAGATCGGAGCTATCTGATCCTTGACACTTTTGGTCGATTGTTTGGCGTTGGTTGGCATGGTTCTTTTGTGTTGTTTATCCTGAGGGCTCTTCATTGGAGGCCAAAACCAGCCAAGATGAACAACGCGTCGTAAATGGGTTGTTATACATCATGGGCCGTAAATGAGATCAGAAGCAACACGACCCGTAAATGGTCCAAAAGCCCCTACGGGAGCAACACGACCCGTAAATGGTCCAAAAGCCCCTACGGGTTGAAAATGGCCTAGAGCCAACGTGGGTCATGAATGCACCGAAATCCACCATAGACCGAAAATGCCACACAGGCACGACGGGCAGTAAATGGGTCGAGAGACACAAAGGGCTGAAAATGGCCCAAAGAAACCACATGCCGGAAGTTGGCCGAAATGCAGCACGGGTCGTAAAAGTTTGAAAGACGGTATAGGCCGAAACTGATCAATAGGCACCACGGGCCACACATGGACCAGAAGTATTCAACAGTTAAGGGACTAGATGAGTCATGAACCTAAATATGCTAGTACACACAGGCACCCTAAATATGCTTCCTCGATATCTTTTGTTAGTATGCAGCGATAGTATGTGAGGATTTGGTTTAATAAAGAGTTATGACACTTAAATATGTTATGAAAACATTGAAGAATATGGGGTACCCATTTGAAGCAAATGGAGAATTTGAACCAGAAGTGTAGGCTTTGGTTTACTAGTTTATTTTGCTTCTATTTGAGTCAATATGACAAACTGTACTACTGAGGGTGTCAAAGTGAAAGTTAGATTGAACTCTTCTAGTCCGTGCTCAATCCAAACCCAAAATCTTTCATTGAAAACTTTGAGAATGCAAACACAAGTGCATTTGGCTTCAGAGTCCGAGATGTTATTCTTCGAGACTCCTTAGCGCAATTGCCTTGCAAATCAACTAGTTGTCTTGCACGGCAAGACAGACCACGTGAGAGAGTTGCTTTGAAATCCTACAGTTAGCCATGTGTCGTGTTGATGATGTGAGTGAGCCTTCAATGTTCATATTGGCCCACAGGTTTGCTCCAACGAATATAAAGAGCCCCTTAACTCAACCTTAAACCGGTGGCTGCTCTGCATAAAATTTAGGCAGAGATTATCTGAGCAACCCATGTCTCCCATAGATCTGAGAGAATCCTAGTGAGAAAAAACTCAAAGCCTAAAACTGCTAAGCGATTCAGCATCATTGTAGAACTTGATCAAAGCTGATCTTAACCTATTACTCTTGCGGATTGTTCATCCTCTAGACCCTTAGGCGTTTGTTCCAAGCTTCCAAGGACTACGTGAAAAACAAGTCTGTGAAGGTTCTAGAAATCTAAGTTGAGTGATTGCGCGCGGTGAGAATTGGCTATAGCTCAAGGAGAATAGAGTGAAAACTTTGTATTCCGAGTTCCGAGTTCAGTCTCACCCCCTTCAACTAGACGTAGAGTTGTGTCAGTAACTTAAATTAAATGAACAAACCATTGTCTTCACCAAGCCTTCGGGGTTCTATTTTCTCGCACTCAACTTACGTTATGTTTGTACTCTGTATTGCGAAGAACTAGCACTCTCTATATTTTGTCTATCTATTGCCATAGCTTTATTGCATGCCTTTCTATTATGGTTTGTCAGGTCTTGATGTAGATGCTCTCATATGATGTCCATTATGCGTATCGTCGCCCTTGCTAGCCATGAAGCTCATGTGTGCCCTCTATTCTCTAAGCACGTCGACAATGCTCTAACGTCGAGCCTTCCCCTAATTACATGCTACTTCCTCCGTCCCATAATGTAAGACGTTTTTTACACTACATTACAGGATGGAGGGAGTTATTTAAAATCCCAAAATAGTGAACAATTCACGTGTCACCTTGGTACCTGCTTAGCGGCATCCGAGCTACCAAAAAAGCCAAGTCAGAGCCCAAACTTTTGTTTGCGTGAGGACAAGTGGAGTAATCACCCCAGCTAATTAAACAAGCCTATCGGTAGAGCTCAGATTCCCAATCTAGCTGCTCCTGATTTGTTCATCGTGCAGCTGCCCGCCGTCCCGAATAAAACATGATATGAATATGATTCCACTGGCACATGCACATACAGATGGAAAGTTTATGTACTAGTCCATCGTAATCTATCTATGATGGAAGAAAGTAGATGTCAAAAGACAAACTTCGGCTCTTTCTTTCTCAAAAATCGAGTCTAGAAACGTTTGATAGTGTTGCAAATGACTAGATCATGTAATGTCTGTGCATTGTGTTAAAACAAAAAGATGTCCAGCGGAGGCAGGATGTCAAAAGGAATATTGACTTCTGAAAGTTGCCCAACAGGTGGACGATCAGAAACCATGGCCGAAGTAAGACGTGCATTATGCCATAATAAGGATGTGATTTCCCATCGACCGATCGGCCCTACGCATTTAAATTGGTAAACACTATCATGTGATTCTTGCCTGCCCATCACTCGAAATTGTCATGCTACTCCCACGGCTCTCGTGCTTACGGCGGTCGACCGCAACAAAGTTGTACTAAGTGAGCGACAAGTAATATGGATCAGAGGGAGCAATATTAAAAAAAACGGTCGAAACTCAGAATAATTTCTAAGGCAAATATAAACGCTCAAAGTAACAATTCAGTAAAGTTCCTTATTTTATCTTGAATTTAAAAGTTAAATTCATCACTTTATTCCGTGCAAAGAAATCAATTAATATCATCATTTATCATGAGTTCACAGTTTTTTTTTGGAGAAATTACCAAGTACTCCCTCCGTTCCTAATATAAGTCTTTCTAGAGATTTCACTATGAACTACACACAGATATATATATATATATATGTAGTTTAGAGTGTAGATTCACTCATTTTGCTCTGTAGGTAGTCCATATTGAAATCTTAGAAAGACTTATATTTAGGAACGGAGGGAGTAGTACGGAAACACAGATATATATATATAGATGTAGTTTAGAGTGTAGATTCACTCATTTTGCTCTGTAGGTAGTCCATATTGAAATCTTAGAAAGACTTATATTTAGGAACGGAGGGAGTAGGACGGAAACACACATCACTATATTTGCGAATGCAAATTGAAGACTAGAGTCACATAGTTTTGAAATTCAGAGTCTTCTCTATCACCTCGCAATTTTTCTTGACAAAGAGTTCAGTCTCTGCATCACTGACACCTTGCTAGTGTTAGTACATTAACTATTACTATAAAATAAAAATCCACCGTGGCCAGGCAAGATCTCAAACCAGAGATTTGATCATTCCTGTGCTAAGGATTTAGCCACCTCCACCCAAACTACACTTGCTCGTTGTATTTAAGAAATCTGACCACTTCACACTATATTTCTGGTATGAAATTCTAATTTGGCACCACATTTTTGTCTTTGCACCAATTTGAAAGGACAAACAAATCTTTTTTCCTCGTGTGGCAACTCTAGTGGTTAGCAAGCTTTGCTTCCATTCTAAACATTTAAATTCAAATTCATTCAAATAAATTAGAACTGTAGAAAATTTTCTCAGTGGTCAAACTGACCGAAAAAACCTTGTTAACTAGAAAACATGCAATCAAACTTCTCTAGCTTAGACAACTAAATAGAACTTATTTAGATTTGGTATGGTATGTAGAAATTGTACTATTAAATTTTTCATGAAAATAATTTTAAAAATGTTTTTTTCTATTTTGTGATAGTGTATATATTTAAACTCAACCATCTACTGCATATTGGAGGCAATGTCCATATCTAAAGTGTCATGTATTTTGGAAATGAGGGAGTAAAAGAGGCACATACAACCTAGAAAAGTGTTTTCTTTTGCGGAAAGATCCAAGTCTATTATCAAGGTTCACCAAAAGTACAAAGTATCACACACATAATACAAATTAAATCAAGGTTCTTGGACCACTGAACAACCACTGCTTCGGCTAGAACAAGCTGTCGACGTGCCGCAGCCGCCGCTCGCTTACCGGAGCCGGCATGACCTTGTTGAGGTCAGTTGGGAATTTTTCGTGCACTTTCCATGAAGGACCAATGCCCTAGAGCTACAATTGTCTATGTTGAACCATTGAATTGATCTCAAGCGCATGACACCAAAACTCGCCGTCTTGTAGGTACAACGGGAAACCCTAATGTCATCATCCCAAGAAGATGACATGAGTCTACACTAAAGCCCTGTCAACATTGTCCCGACAAACAAACTCATGAGGATTGGAGCCCGAAAGACCAGCTGGAACATGAAGCTTGCTATCCGCCACAACGCCGTCCCATGAGAGAAAAAATCCTAACCTAAAGTACTAGCTGGACCGCGGCACCAGAACTCCTCTTCCAGCGGTCGGACGCCAGAGCGACAGACAGAGGGTGGCGAGTGTATGATCTCACCGATGGAGCTTGGAGGAAAGAACTACTCCCTCCGTTCCTAAATACTTGTCTTTCTAGAGATTTCAACAAGTGACTACATACGGCGCAAAATGAGTGAATCTACACTTTAAAATATGTCTACATACATCCGTATGTTGAGTCCATTTAAAATGCCTAGAAAGACAAGTATTTGAGAACGGAGGGAGTAGGTTGGTTCGCGAACACATGTACTCCCTCCGACCCATAATATAAAATATGTCTACATACATCCGTATGTTGAGTTCACACTGGAGCTTATAA